CATAGTATACAGACAATTAGTTGACGGTAAAGTTGCAAGTAGAAACCCATGATTAATCCCTGGATTCTATACTGACATCTTACAAGCTAACTTAAACAGATCTTACAGCAGTTTAGAATGAGGATTATCAAGTCCACCTAAACCTCACGCATTTGTAAGTTTACCTTTACAATCTTAATAAATATTTATTATTTATTTAAGTCTCATTAGCTCAATGGCAGAGCCTAATACTTCTAATATTATGATCCTTGTTCGATTCTAGGATGAGACTGGTATAATACGTGAGTTTATACTAATAATAGGCCGTTCTTCAAGCTTAAAACACTTATAGGCGGTTTTTGCTATATCCGGGTATATCTGAGTAATCAGGTTAGTCTTGGATTCATCAGTTAATACTGATCTTTTTTTTTATATATTTATGACCATGATGAAACTTTTTAAATTAAATTTAGTACTAAGTACTAAACAACACATACGTACTTTTGGTACAATTGAAGATGTAGCTTTATTAGCTAGCATCACAACTGAATTACAAGACTTGTTAGTTCAGTTTAATAAATTCGTTCTTGATTTTAACCAACATTTAGTAACATATGATATTAACGTTATCGATGATGCTAAGGGTAAAGATATCTCTATTTATGATAATCATTCACAGGAGGTTGAAAACCATATTGTGAAAAAATACAAAGTTTTAGATGCTGTTATTGACGCTAGAAGAGAAAAAATAAACGATCTAGTCAATAAAGGTACTAATTTATATACTTCTATTAAAGAAGATAAACCAGACTTTACATCTAAAATCTTATCTCAAGCTGAAGAGTTTAGAAGAATTAATAAAAACTTTAAGGGTTAGTCCTGGGTGATAGGCAGGTAAACAGTTTATTTTCTTTAAAATAGATAAGTGCCTTCCTATCCCTTTTTATATTAAATCTTTATGACTTTACCAATAACTTTAATCTCTATAATCGAGACTGTTATTTTAATGTTACCAGCTCTATTAGTAGTTGCTTACGTTACAGTAGCAGAAAGAAAAACAATGGCTAGTATGCAAAGAAGATTAGGACCTAATGCTGTAGGATACTACGGATTATTACAAGCCTTTGCTGATGCTTTAAAATTAATCTTAAAAGAATATGTAGCTCCAACACAAGCTAATATTGTATTATTTTTCCTTGGACCG